TGGCGGGAAAACTAGCGACATTTCCAAAATGATGCAAAATGGTGCAAAATCCGGAGTTCGAGACCGAACTTTGAAAGATGATTTTGTAAGCATGTACACGAACTCCATAAGAATCTTTTCCACGTCAACTTTCCACTCTGACCGTAAAATATTATATATAAACTCCCAATATATCTTAAACGTAGCTGAATAACAAAAATAAAATAAAAAATATCTTTCTGATATTCCTTGGTTTCTAAAATTGACAGATTTCTTGCTGCGTTTTATTGTGTTGGTTGGTGATACACGATATTATTGAATTATTACCGGATAAATGACATGTTAATCCGCGTGATAATGTAGTAGTTGTTTAAACAATGTATGTGCTATTTCAATTACTATTATTAGAGGAGATTCTCCAGTATCTGTCTATATTTCTGAGATGAGGTATTATGTACATTATTTATATTGTTCGGACTACCATGCTCATGTTTGTTGCCATATTTATCACAACGTTTCACCGTTGTACGCTGTCCTTCTTCAGAATGTCGAACTGAACCCTTTAATTCGCTCGCTGGGGTAGACTGTTCTAGTTCCGCGTGCCATGTCTAATGGATGACAGTTATCTGTTATCTCTGGTTATTTCCCCATTTCCAAGTTCTCCACTGCCTTAACCAGGTATTGAACTCACACTCTTTGGGTCCTTTCACTGGATCTATCAAGCGCCTTTATTCACGGTGTCATGTGTCCTTCAGGACATCTCTGTCTGAATTTATAAACCTAATGTCTTCAGCATCCATTTTTACCAGTGCTCGTATTGCAATTTTTGCTGTTATCATTGCTTGTATTTTACCAGAACAGATATTGCAATTTTCGTTGTTATTATCGCTTTTCTCTGGCACTCCTTATTACTGGTTCCCATATTGTATTAATTTCTATGCTTGGTTGGATCATGACATTCACACACACACACACACACACACACACACACACACACACACACACACACATATATATATATATATATATATATATATATATATATATACAGTAGGAATTAAGATTGCCGTAATATATATCTCATACAGTAGGAATTAAGATTACATATAGGTGATGCTAATAATCACCTTGCAAATTGAGATAATTTAAAAGACTTTCAAACCAGACAAGGATGATCATTTATTGAAATAAAAATGGCCAGAAAGAGGAACGAATATATATATATATATATATATAGATAGATAGATAGATAGATAGATAGATAGATATGTATGTATGTTTGTATAACGGACTCTTCCGTCGGTTTCGAAGTATGAGGATCTGACAGCTTAATTGGTTCAGTTATGAAATTCTGTGCGATAATCTTAAGTGGCACTTAGGACCCGCTAGTGGTTTACAAAGGAGGCCACGTATGGAGCAAGAGTGAGGATTGTGGGATGAGACCACTGTTAGATTGGCTGGCCTTTTTAGATCTTGCTCTCGCTTCTTGAAGACGATTCAGACAAGCAGATTAAAAAAGTGCTGAGTCCACAAAAACACGTTGATCTCCATTCTACTCGCTTCAAGGCTAAGCGCTCAATATTGACAACTAATATATATATATATATATATATATATATATATATATATATATATATATATATATATATATATATATATTCCTTTTACAGCAAGCAAGGCGATAGTGTCATTATCCTGCAAGGGGCTATTGAGAATGAAAAGACTTTAGAAGGAATCGGAAACCAATTCCTAAACAGGAAACAAGGAAAAACCTCTATTGATTAAAACTCCGCCAAGTATTTGAACAAACGGAAGTGTCTACTTACTTTAAAATCTGAAAGACATTTCCAGGTTCAAATGTATTTAGCACAAGAGATAAAGAAATGCAACACATAATGTATTGCGCCACGGGTCATCTTGTTCAACAGCCCAAGATGTGATAAAACGAAGAGTCTAACATGAACCCGAGTCATATTTCTCCATAGCCTGGTTACATCTAAATGCTGACACGGATTTCGTCCATAGCGTTCAACATGTTCAGAAATGTGGAGTCTCTCAGCTAAATGCAATGATCTCCTCTGATCAGTTATTAAAAATGGATTCAACACATAATATGATGCAATGGATGTCTTCAATTTAAAATCTGAAAGACATTTCCAAGTCCAAGAAATATAACGCATAATATGTTGCAACTGATATTGTTTAGACGTCTTGTATTTATTTCTTTATTGGATTTTTATTTGATATAGGGGGCTCAAGATGACCACTTGCTATCGAGGAAACTGATACACACTCTTGTCCACTACTACTTAATACTAACAAAATATAGCCACCACATTGAAAGACACAAAGTCCGCAAAAATATCATTTGCAAAAGAAAATCACCCTCATTAATTAAAATATATCTTACCATAAGAAATGGCATTTTGAAATATATATAAAATATTAAATATACGTATAAAATAATTATAATGTAATAATTTTAAAAAAATCATCTTCCTGTGCAACCGAACAGCATTTCGATTATTTTCCCTTAGTGTTACATGTGCTGTCCATTTTATCTGTTACTGCTGTTGAAAGTCTTCAGGTGACACGGCTTCTGTTATATGTTGTTTTGTGCCGCCTGCCTATAATATCTGATATATTATTGTCTTCTGTAAAACCTAAAGGATTCATAAACTAGGGATTGATGTGACATTTAAGTTTTTGATAGTTTAGTCATATTTTGGAAGATTGTAAGTTGCAGGAAACCAAGAAACCGGAAGTTTTTTTTTAATTTTGTTTCTTTTAAAGCCACCAAGACGTAAGGGGGTTACAGAGTGAGAGGCAATATGAGAGAAAAAAAAACAGATAACTGAAATCTTTTATAAGATCAGCGTTCCGTTTAAATATGATCATAATTTCGATTTTGCTTCTGTGAAGATTTTAAAATATATTCATAATAAAAATCTTAGGCGGATTTATGAAGCAGGCATAATATCTATCTCACGCACGGTGAACACTAGACCTGGCTTCTTTAATATTTCCCCTTTTCTAGCAAGATTAATGCTCGACAAACGTACATATAAGTTTTAGATCAAAATAAAATTCTTTTCGTTTTTCATTCAAAATTTTAGGAATACGTTTTCACAACATCGCCCACGTGACGATGACGTGCTCATATTTAAACGGAACGCTGATCTTATAAAAGATTTCAGTTATCTGTTTGGATTGGTATTGCTTTTATGTCTATCGTCTTTTTCATGTTGAATTGTATATGGTCTATGTTAATTATGTTTTATGAATATGTCCTGAAGATGGTCTATTAGACCGAAACGTCCGACGTTGACATTATACTAACATTAAAACAGCATAATTGCGTATTAGGATTTTTGTTTGATTTTTCCGTATATTTTTCTTCATACTGGCGGATCTATATCCATATATTTGCTTATATATATATATATATATATATATATATATATATATATATATATATATATATATATATATATGATATACATATAAATATATAAAAAGTATATCTAGGCAGTTATTCCAATTAAGTTTGATGAAATTCAACACATAATGTCTTCTTTCTTCATTTTTTTATAGCTTTCCCCATTTCCGAATTAGTTTTTGTAGATCGGTTGTAAAGAAATTACCCAAAGCTCAGTTTTCTATTATATTCAAGTACTTTCGACAATGGTAACCATTTTTTATGAAGTGGGTTAGATCAGGATAGTGATGTAACTGACTAAATTCTTGCTTACTATACTAAAAGGGCGAAATACCTTCATCTTTAAAATACGAAGGGAGAAAACAACGCTCGGGAAAAGACCTACGTTGAAAGCCGGCATCGTGGAAATGCTGACATAGAAAGCCACCATCTTTAAAATACTAACGTCTAAAATCACGAACGTGAAAATGCAAAAGATGAAAGCTACCATCGTAAAATACCTGCGTCGAAAGCTACCATCGATAAAATACCAACGTTGAAAACTATCATCGTAAGATTACCATCGACGAAATGCACTGTCATCAAAATACCAACGTCGAAAAATACCATCACGAAAATGTGGTGGACATTGTAAAAATTCAAACGTCGAAATCTACCACAGTGAAAAAACCAGAATCGAATGTCCCCATCGTAAAAATACGAACGTCGAAAGCTGCCATATTGGATAATACAAACAACAAACGCCAACATTGTAACATATCAACGTCGAAAGCAACCCTCGGGCTAATTGCCAATATCATAGGTCACCATTGTTAAAATATCACCGTCGATAGCCACAACTGCAAAAATGTAAATATCTAATACCAACAGCGTCAAAATACCAACGTTTTAAACCGCCATTGTTTCGCGAAAAATGCCAATGTCGAAAGCCACCACAGTGGAAAAAATAAACCAAAGTCGAAAGCGATTATCTTAAAAATACGAACGTCTAAAGCTAACATCACAAAAATACGGAAGTCGATAGTCATATATTCACTATAGCGTCGGTACAAGGGTTTCGTGTTCGTGGTCGTATCATAGATTTTGCGTGAATCTATGATATACGCAAAATCTATGATACGGCCACACCATTCTACGACAATTTTCATCAGGTAATATAAAATACAAATTTTATTGTAATCTAAATATGGCGTCACCAATAGGATGATCAAATCGCTTGGGTGAACCAGAATTTGTCGAGACTTGGGTCCGATGTTATGCAGCCCCGGCTAGGGCCCTTATTTCTTTCACTCTTTCTTTTCTTTTCTTCTTTACTTTCTCTATCTCTCTCCCTCTTTCTCTATTGCAATTTTCTTTATATATTTGTCTCTATCTACTCATTTTCTTTCTTTCTTTGTCGATCTAGTCCACATTTCTTTCTTTTTTGTCTTTCCCCTCTAATTTTCTTTCATTCTTTCTCTCACCCTTCTACTTTTCATTCTTTGTTTGTCTCTCCTTTCTACATTTCTTTCTTTTTTTCTACCTCACTTGTATTTTTCTTCTTTTTTGTCCTTCACTTCTACATTTCTTTCTTTCTTTCTATATGTTTTTCTTCCTTTCTCTTCTCCCTTCTATACATCTTTCTTTCTTCCTTTCCTTTTTTCTTTTTTCTTTCTTTCTTTTTTCTTTCTTTCTTTCTATATGGCTGTGTTCCTTTTTCCCTCCCTTTCATACATCTTTCTTTCTTTTTCTTTCTTTCTTTCTTTCTTTCTTTCTTTCTTTCTTTCTTTCTTTCTTTCTTTCTATACATTTTTTCTTCCTTCCCTTTTATACGGCTTTCTTTCTCCCTTACCTCTTTTCTCTATGCCTTTCTTTCCTCCCTTCTGTACATCTTTTCCTTTCTTTCTTTCCTGACTTCTATACATTTTTCTTTCTTTCTTTTTCTTTATTTCTCACCTTCTATATGCCTTTCTTTATTTCTTCACTCTTTTCTATATGTGTTTCTTCCGTCCCTTCTGTGTATCTTTTCTTTCTTTCTTTCTTTCTATATGCCTTAGGTTCTTTCTTTCTTTCTTCCCTCTTTTCTACGTCTTTTTTCCTCCCTTCTATACATTCTTCTTTCTTTCTTTCTTTCTTTCTTTCGTTCTTTCTTTCTTTCTTTCTTTCTTTCTTTCTTGCCTTCTATACATTTTTCTTTCTTTCTTTCTTCCCATCTATGTCCTTCTTTCTTTCTTTCCTCTTCCCTATATGTCATTCTTTCCTCCCTTCTAGTAATATGTTTCTTTCTTTCTTTTCTTTCTTTTCTTTCTTTCTTTTCTTTCTTTCTTTCTTTCTTTCTTTCTTTCTTTCTTTCTTTCTTTCTTTTTTTTTCTTGCCTTCCCATCATTTTTCTTTTCTTTCTTTCTTTCCCCCCCTTCTAGTAATATCTTTGTCCTTTTTCTTTTTCTTTCCTTTTTTTCTTTTCTTTCCCTTTATTGCCTTCATTCTTTTTTCTTCCTTCTTTCTTCCCATATGTTTCTTTCTTTTTTTCTTTTCTTTCTTTCTTTCTTTCTTTTCTTTCTTTTCTTTCTTTCTTTCTTTCTTTTTTTTCTTTCCTTCTTTACATTTTTTTCTTTCTTTCTTTCTTCCCATCTTCTATACATTTTTCTTTCTTTCTTTTCTTCCCATCTATGTCATTCTTTCCCCCCTTCCCTAATCATTCTTTCCCTTTAGTAATTTCTTTCTTTCTTTTTTCTTTCTTTTCTTTCTTTCTTTCTTTCTTTCTTTTATATAGGTCCTTCGTTCTTTCTTCCCTCTTTTCTATATGTCTTTTTCTTCTCATCCTTCATTTTTCTTTCTTCCCTTCTATATGTCCTTCTTTGTTTCTTCTCTCTTTTTTTTTGTGTCATTCTTCCTTCCCTTCTATGCATCTTTCTTTCTTTCTTTTCTTTCTTTCTTTCATCCCTTCCTTCTGTATATCTTTCTTTCTTTTCATGTGATGCTTTCCTTACAGTTTTATTTCTCTGTATTTTTTGCATTATTGTCTTTCCTACTTTATTCCGCTCTTCTGAATTTAAATATATTTATATATTTATATCTACTTATAGTACTTGGACATGCATTACTCCAATATACATACATATATACATACAAACAAACGTACACAAAGACACACACACGCACTCATCTCTCTCTTTCTCTCTCTTTCTCTCATATATATATATATATATATATATATATATGACAACACGAAATTCCCAAGATTGCTGGACAAGGCCTTTTGATGCTTTCAAATGGACAGCCGTCGACCTGTCAAGCATTTTTCGTTGACAAAGTGATCCTCTTTTCATCGCCATCGTTCGAGATTCGCTCCCTGAACAGCAAGGTCCCACGGCTGACAACCAAACCACAGAGTTTTATATCCCCAAAGTAGGTAAGTGAGGGGTCGGAGAAAAGCGATGACGATTAAGTGGCGGGGGGTGGGGGTTAGAAAAGAAAAAAAAAACATGACGTCATCGTGAATGACAGCGCACTGAGTTGGGGATGGTTTGCAGGTTCACAAAAATTGATGGGATAACCATTTAGAAACGAGAGATCTTCCAGAGAGATTTTTTGGCTTGACATGTGGGATAGAAAAAGAAGAAGGGCGTGGGCTGTGAAGTTGTGTAAGCAATTGAGTAAGTTCGTTTTTGTCTTCTTTTTTTTTTTTTTTCGTTGAACTCTACTATCACCAGTACCCTCACGTGAAAACATATCGTACTTATTGATTGACTATATATATATATATATATATATATATATATATATATATATATATATATTGATTTATAGATTCATAAATATTTTCGGAAAGGAAGGAAAGAATAGCGGAAGTAGAGTCACAAGAAGAAGAATGAGGAGAAGAAGATGAAGAAGGAGGAGGTGAAGATGAAGAAGGAGGAGGTGAAGATAAAGAAGGAGGAGGTGAAGATGAAGAAGGAGGAGGTGAAGATGAAGAAGGAGGGGTGAAGATGAAGAAGGAGGAGGTGAAGATGAAGAAGGAGGAGGTGAAGATGAAGAATGACGAGAAGAAGATAAAGGAGGAGGAAGATGAAGAAGGAGGAGAAGATAAAGGGAGGAGGTGAAGATGAAGATGATGTAGAAGGAGGAGAAGAAGGAGGAGGAGGAGGCTGAGAAAAAAAGATGAAGAAGAATCTGAAGGAGGAGGAGAAGAAGATGAAGAAGAAAAAGGAATCAGAAGAAGAAAGAAGAAAAAGAAAGAAGAAGAAAGACAAAAAATGAAAGAATAATGGAAATATATATTGTTGGGTCGAGAAGAAAGGGAAAAAATGAAGTGTGTAGGAATAATGTATAAATAAATGTTGTAGATCAATAATGATAATAATAAAAATGTTACAAATGAATGGAGGATGATTGTAAAAATATTGTTCTAGACAAACCAGAAGCTATATTTTATAAATTCTTTGACCACTAATTTTTTCTAGAAATGAAACCATGATTGAAGAAGAATTTTTTCCATATTAGACTTTTACGGTAACATCTATCATCTATCAGAGGAGAGAGAATATAGCTATATGAAGAATGACTCCTGCTGGTTAACCTTCTTAGATGAAGGTCAATTATTATTCATTTTTCATAATATTTTTTTCATCTTCATTTCTCTTGCTTTTTATTGCAACTGCCATCCATAAAAGAAGAAGTTATAGCTATATGGCTAAATTTGAATGACTCCTGCTGCCTTCTTAGATGAAGCATTGTCAATTATTATTCATTTTTTTCACTAATATTTCTTTCATCTTCATTTCTCTTGCTTTTATTGGTCCATAAAAGAAGATATAGCTATATTGGGTCGAGAAGATGAAGGGAAAAAATATTTCTTTCATCTTCATTTCTCTTGCTTTTATTGTCCATAAGAAGTAGAAGTAATGTATAAATTTGAAATCCTGTTGGTTAGCCTTCAGATAATTGTCAATTATTATTCATTTTTCACTAATATTTCTTTCATCTTCATTTATCTTGCTTTTTATTGCAAAATGATAAGAAGTAGAAGTAGAGAATATAGCTATATATAAATTTGAATGACTCCTGCTGGTTAGCCTTCTTAGATGAACCCAATTATTATTCATTTTCACTAATATTTCTTTCATCTTCATTTCTTTTTTTTATTGCAACACCCATCCATAAGAAGTAGAAGTAGAGAATATAGCTATATGGCTAAATTTGAATGACTCCTGCTGGTTAGCCTTCTTAGATGAAGCATTGTCAATTATTATTCATTTTTCACTAATATTTCTTTCATCTTCATTTCTCTTGCTTTTTTGCAACACCCATCATCCAGAAGAAGTAAGAATATAGCTATATGGCTAATTCTCATGATTTTTTAGATTTTTCAATTATTATTCATTTTCACTAATATTTCTTTCATCTTCATTTATCTTGCTTTTTATTGCAACACCCATCCATAAGAAGTAGAAGTAGAGAATATAGCTATATGGCTAAATTTGAATGTCTCCTGCTGGTTAGCCTTCTTAGATGAAGCATTGTCAATTATTATTCATTTTTTCACTAATATTTCTTTTCATCTTCATTTCTCTTGCTTTTTATTTAACACCCATCCATAAGAAGTATCCTAAATTTGAAGAAGTAGAAGATGAGAGAATTATTATTCATTTTTCACTAATATTTCTTTCATCTTCATTTATCTTGCTTTTATTGCAACTGCCATCCATAAGAAGTAAAGTGACTATAGCTATATGGCTGGTTGAATGCCTTTAGCCTTAGATGAAGCATTGTCAATTATTATTCATTTTTCACTAGTATTTCTTTCATCTTCATTTCTCTTTTGCTTTTATTGCAACACCATCCATAAGAAGTAGAAGTAGAGAATAGCTATATGGCTAAATTTGAATGACTCCTGCTGGTTAGCCTTCTTAGATGAAGCATTGTCAATTATTATTCATTTTTCACTAGTATTTTTTTTCATCTTCATTTCTCTTGCTTTTTATTGCAACTGCCATCCATAAGAAGTAGAAGTAGAGAATATAGCTATATGGCTAAATTTGAATGACTCCTGCTGGTTAGCCTTCTTAGATGAAGCATTGTCAATTATTATTCATTTTTCACTAGTTCTTTCATTTCATCTTCATTTATCTATATGCTTTTTCTCCTGCTGATGAACAATTATTATTTTTCCCATCCATTTATCTTGCTTTTTATTGAAGTAGAAAGTAGAGAATATAGCTATATGGCTAAATTTGAATGACTCCTGCTGGTTAGCCTTCTTAGATGAAGCATTCACTAGCTGTCAATTATTATTCATTTTTTCACTAGTATTTCTTTCATCTTCATTTCTCTTGCTTTTTTATTGCAACTCCCATCCATAAGAAGTAGAAGTAGAGAATATAGCTATATGGCTAAATTTGAATGACTCCTGCTGGTTAGCCTTTTTAGATGAAGCATTGTCAATTATTATTCATTTTTCACTAGTATTTCTTTCATCTTCATTTCTCTTGCTTTTATTGCAACTGCCATCCATAAGAAGTAGAAGTAGAGAATATAGCTATATGGCTAAATTTGAATGACTCCTGCTGGTTAGCCTTCTTAGATGAAGCATTGTCAATTATTATTCATTTTCACTAGTATTTTTTTTCATCTTCATTTATCTTGCTTTTATTGCACCATCCATAAGAAGTAGAAGTTATAGCTATATAGCTAAATTTGAATGACTCCTGCTGGTTAGAGATGAAGCATTGTCAATTATTATTCATTTTTCACTAGTATTTCTTTCATCTTAATTTCTCTTGCTTTTTTTTGCAACTGCCATCCATAAGAAGTAGAAGTAGAGAATATAGCTATATGGCTAAATTTGAATGACTCCTGCTGGTTAGCCTTTTAGATGAAGCATTGTCAATTATTATTCATTTTTTACTAGTATTTCTTTCATCTTAATTTCTCTTGCTTTTATTGCAACTGCCCTCCATAAGAAGTAGAAGTAGAGAATATAGCTATATGGCTAAATTTGAATGACTCCTGCTGGTTAACCTTTTAGATGAAGCATTGTCAATTATTTTTTATTCATTTTCATTTCTAGTATTTTTTCATCTTATATATTTCTTATTTTTTATTATTCATTTTTTACTAACTGCCATCCATTTAGAAGTATAAGAAGTAGAAGTAGAGAATATAGCTATATGGCTAAATTTGAATGACTCCTTGGTTAGCCTTTTAGATGAAGCATTGTCAATTTTCATTATTCATTTTTTTTTACTAAATGCTAAAATAAATATTTCTGGTTTCTTCATTTCTCTTCCTTTTATTTCAATGAAGTATTATGGTCTTCATTTTTCATTTTTATTTTTATCTTTCAACTTCATTCCATAAGAAGTCCAGAAGTAGAGAATATAGCTATATGGCTAAATTTGAATGACTCCTGCTGGTTAGCCTTTTAGATGAAGCATTGTCAATTATTATTATTTTTTATTTTTCATCTTCAGTATTTGCTTTTTTTGCAACTTTCCATAAGAAGTTCATTTTGAATGACTTTGCTCTTGTCAATTTTATTCATTTTTACTAGGTTTCCATCCATAAGAACTGCCATCCAAAGAAGTAGAAGTAGAGAATATAGCTATATGAATAAATTTGAATGATTCATTGCTGGTTATTCATTTTTTTACTAGTAAAAGATGAAACATTAAGAATTCAATTATTATTCCTTTT